GGTACATACTCCACGCGCGAACAAGGGGACTCCACTCTCCTCCGAGAAGAGATCCCAGGCAGAAGGTAGCAAAAACCAGGAGTATCTCGAGAGTCTTCGTAGTCTCGCGCGCGAGCTTATATTTCGCCGTCAAAGTGTCGGTTAAGTAGTTTGTAAATTCTTGTACTATCAATTTATTTTGTTAAATATATACAACGTTGACTAGTGCTACGAATCTAATTAGTTTCTCTCAGTCGAAACCGCCCAACCTGCTATCCTGAGCGATTTTCCTCGGCACTATCCTTTCAATCTTCTGTTTTCTGTTCAAATAGTTTTATATATCCATCCGTATCTATCACATTATTTCTTCTTTTTTTTAAGGCAAGTTTCAGCATTATCTAATAAGTTATACACACGCGCGCATGTACTATTATTGTTATATAAGATAACGTGATGAACATATATTCTTATGCGACTGACTGAATTGACCAATCGCAGTCGATTATTCTTACGACTACGACTTTACGACTTCTATGTAGACGAGGCTTTAAGCCTCCGCTACAATGATTCTCGGTTCTGTCTACAATGCGAGTCGCAGAGTCGTAGTCGTAAGAATAATCGACTGCGATTGGTCAATTCTTACTTTGCGACTGCTCAAGCGACCATCGATACAACTGTACGACCATTGTAGACAGAACCGAGAATCATTGTAGCGGAGGCTTTATACTGTACTATAACCAATCAGAGCAGAGTTTACTAATGTCACGTTTAGTGAATTATTAGTAAACGGTTATCAGCAGAATCAGGAAAATAACTAGATAAACAAACTGCCTCTTTTAGGTTCGAGCAACTCCGTTTTGTATAATGTGTAAATAATACCATATTTTAATTAACGCCCAGTCTTACGTAAGTTCTCCCACATTTTACGATGCTAGAATTACTCTTGAGACGGGCGATATTGCCGTCTAGCATTCGCAATTCCGTTCGAAGCTACGCGACGAACAAGTCCGACAATTTCGTGAAGATCGTCGAGGTCGGGCCACGAGACGGTCTGCAGAATGAAAAAAAGGTGGTGCCCACCGAGGTCAAAATTGCCTTTATCAACATGCTATCCTCGACCGGCTTGAAGAGCATCGAGGTCACGAGTTTCGTGTCGCCGAAGTGGGTGCCTCAGATGGCGGACAACTCGCGGGTCTTCCAAGGAATCGAGAAGAGAGACGGCGTATCCTATCCAGCGCTGGTGCCGAATCTGAAAGGCCTGGAAAACGCGGTCACCGCCGGCGTCAAGGAGATTGCTTTGTTCGCTGCGGCGTCGGAGGCCTTTTCCAGGGCCAACACCAACAGCTCCATCGAGGAGAGCGTGAGGAACTTGAAGGTGGTCGCGGAGGAGGCCGGGAGGCAGGGCATCAGGACCCGGGGCTACGTGTCCTGCATCGTTGGCTGTCCTTACGAGGGCGAGACCAATGCAGCCACCACGGCGCACTTGGCTGCGGTAATGCTGGCTCACGGATGTTACGAGGTGTCTCTGGGCGACACTATTGGCGTGGGGTCGCCCAGGGGGATCAAGCGTGTCTTGAACGAGCTGCGTCACGTCTCCTCGGGCGACATGCGTTGCTACGCGCTGCACTGCCACGACACGTACGGCCAGGCGTTGGTAAACATTCATGCTGGTCTCGAAGCCGGTGTGAGGGTCTTCGACTCCTCGGTCGCTGGTCTCGGTGGATGCCCGTACGCTGCTGGTGCCTCGGGAAACGTCGCCACGGAGGATCTACTTTACTTCCTACGGGGGGAAGGACTGGAGACCGGCGTAGATTTTGATAAGATCGTTGAAATCGGTGACTACATCAGTGCGGAGCTGGACAGGGCGAATCAGTCGAAGACCGGAGTGGCTGTGCTCGCCAAGAAGAATCGTCAAAAGTGCTGATCGATATTTAATGTTGTATTTAAAGAGGGTTTCCAACGAAAAGCGTGTATAGGCAAAATGCGTAGGTTTGGCTGTTTTGGCAGAAAAATTCGGGACTCTGGGAACGCTGTCATTTGTTAATGATGTGCCTATCCGCGTTCTCTTGCTGGAAAACGTCCCAATTAGCTTAACGAGCACGAGTCGAGACCAAAGCATTTTACATTACAAGTGCCAACATTACACATTTATACGTGTGTATATATAGAATATGTACATATAAGTTTATGGAATATGTATATACAAATTCGTATATTTTTATATTGTATAAACGACATTTTTTACCAATATGATATACATTGATCTCTGAAAAAATATGTATGTTGCGTGTATCACGCTATATTTTATACTCGTTCAACCGCGCTTGCCACGCGATTTTGTGAAAGTATGTACATTTATTTGGGACAGATCCATTCTTGGGGCTCGATCATGAATCTTTTTCTCTAGCGTGAACTCGTGAAAAGAGAAAAAATTTCATTAACAAATTCAATATTCGTCAATGACGTCGGAAATTTTCTTCCAACCAATCCCACGCGTCAAAAATTCTATTCCCTGTTGCCTGGCATTGTGTAATAGGCTTTATAATTGAGCCTCCGTGTGGATCGAGCCTTAAAAAGGTGAACGATATAGGGGAATATACTTCTGCGAGCGAGCAGCGTTGGCATAACTGCCGAGAGAGACACGTGCGAGCTGAGCACCTAACCTCAATAAGTTTAGCCGACGCGGAAGCTTTCGGTGAGAGTTTTATTTCGAGCGGTATCGAACATTTAACAAATATCCAAGGAAAATGGAAGCGAATGTCATATCTTGCACCGCGTGGGTGAAGAAAGGCGTTGCCGCGGCCGTTCCGGAGAAGGTTAACACTCTAACGATATTTATACATTGTTAGTTGTCAAAAGATATATATTTTCTGCGATTTTTAGGTTGAATTAAGGCCCGACGAGCTCGAGAAGATTATAAAGGAGACACAAGCCGCCCTGGCGTACGTAATCTTGCGCAAGTTTGTTTATTTAAATTCGCAATTTGTCTCGTCTCTCTCGTATCCCGAATTTGAATTTTTGAGCTTGCGGTTAACTTCAAATCCATCATCCGTCGAAATATATTGGCCCGGTAACTTGATTGATTTTTGGACAACATGGAAAGATTTATACTTGCTTCAATTCTCCAGCTATTGTGTTCTTGTAAAAGCAAGATATGTGATAAAAGTTAATTGTGAGGATTCTGTTTATAGAAGCGATGACGATTCTGACGGAGAGGCAGCCGCCTCGAAAACGCAGTCTAATACAGAAAGTAAAGGAGAATCTTCAACAGCCGGCACTGATGAATACAACTTTAAAACCTACGATAACGAATGTAGGGGACGATTTTTGAATACTTGCTGAACATATGTAAAACATATCTATTTGACGTTTTATTTTTTTTTGTTTCAGCTGGCGACATGTATTGTCACATCAGTAACATAGCGACTTTTGGTAAAAGTGGCAAAGATCCTCTTATAACAAATGACGAAGAAGATTCGGATAAGGAGGACGACATTATCAAGGCTGATGACAACTTGGTGCTGTTTGGGCACGTTGAGGGCGACGCCAGCATCTTGGAAGTGTTTGGTTCGTATAATATTGATTAAGTAAAGCAACTTGACGCTAGAGAGGTTTCCTCTGGAATTTACGCGTTACAATCTTTTGTACAACTGCAGTATATAACGACAGAGAAGGATCCTTTTACTGCCATCACGACATACTGCTTCCTTCGTTTCCATTATGCATAGAGTGGCTTGACTATGATCCCACCAGTCCAAAACCAAGTGAGTGATAGCCGTAATAGTATAACTACTAGGTCCACTCCGTCATGTGTTTTATTTTGCGTCAATCTATTCTGCGCATCCGGCATTGCTCTGGGCAGACCAATGAGAGAAAAGTCGTATGTTTGGTAGTGTAGCTTTGATACACTACCGCACGCAACTACAGTACGTGCACACACACATAGGCCGCTGGATTGCTGCCTAAAATAATGGAATACCACGTGATCGGGACCGCAAAGATCAAAGGGGCCGACAGAGAGTGAACCTACTAGTTATACTATGGTGGTACTACAGTAGAGAAGTGTTCTCGAGATTGCAAACGGTATTACCTGTACAGTGAAAGATGTACTTGCAAATGTATACCTGTGCTTTTTTAGGCAACTTGTGCGCAATCGGTAATATGACGCCCATAATTGAGGTGTGGGACTTGGACTTGATAGACTGCTTAGAACCCGCCTACAAATTAGGCCGTAGACCAAGTAAAGTGAAGAATCAAAAGCGCATCGGTCACAAGGATGCAGTTTTAGACGTGTCCTGGAACCACAATTACATGTTAGCTATCAATTTCAGAAAGATATATCGTGAGGTAATTTTATAATTATTAGGAATATCTGGTTGCAGGCATGTTCTTGCTAGCGGTTCGGTCGATCAGACGGTCTTGTTGTGGGACTTGGAGAATGGTAAACCTGTGAACAAACTGGGTCCGTTCAACGAGAAAGTGCAGACATTAAAGTGGCATCCGCGAGAGGCCCATCAGCTATTGACAGGATGTGCAGACGGGTGCGTTTGATCAATTCAATTTGTTTTGCCGCGATATGAATTTGTATACAGATATTTGTAGAAGAAAGTGCCCTATTATGAGATATGTTCCTGATATGATACAGCGGGGTTCCTGCTAAATTAATAGACAACATTTGTTGGTGCCATCATGAACTTATTGTTCTTAGATTGAAGTCTGTTTAGTAGAAAATTAGATCGTGTAATCGTCGCGATTGAATCTGGATGTTGAAAACCTGCTATCACATAGAAGCCTATCTCATAATAGAGGACTTTTCTCTATGTAATATTTTTTTCAGGCTAGTAAACTTATTCGATTGCATGAACGAAACACCTGTTACAAGTTGGAAGGCATCGGGAGAGGTGGAAAAGGTGTTATGGGATCACCACGACGAAAATTACTGTATTGTACGTTTTCCATATGCCTGAAAAAATTTTCGTCATAGGTGTAACAATTGTATTCCTTTGCAGGCCAGCACGGACAACGGTTACATAGAATACTTTGATGTGAGAAAGCGCAAACCGTTGTGGCAAATTAAGGGCCACGAGAAGGAAGTCACAGGCAAATAAATCTCTTTTCACCGATTTAACGTATACATACATGAATTATAAGTTTGTAAATTTAAACTTTTGTCCAGGTCTCTCTCTCAGCATGTCGTGCCGTGGCCTGTTAGTTTCTTGTTCGAACGATGGTGTTATAAAAGTATGGGACATAGATCAGAAAGTCCCTACTCTTGTGTGGGAACAAACTAGTAATCTGGGCGCTATACAATGTCTCGCGGCGAACCCGGATAATGGATTTATATTTACTGTTGGCGGAGATAACAAAGCGCATAATTTCAAAGTGTTGGATCTCATGGAGGTACCCGCTGGTATGTACAAATAATTTCCAATAATGCAAAGTGAAGTATCGCTTGGTTAACTTTTATTCTGATTAATAGTGCGAGAGAAATTTGTGGAACGCGTCGCATCGAAAAACCCTGTGGAACTACGACAAGAGATGATGGATGTCGCTGAAGATATGGAAGATATGGAACTTGAAAGCTCGGAATCGTCGAGTACGAAGAAAAAGAAACAACTGAAGAATGTACAGCACAAAGATTGATGAAAATCTTAGCTAGTTGAGACGTGAAAATAAACTTTTATAAAAAATGTAAGTAAACCACACTTTTGTTATACATTTTTTGTACAGTTAATTTATAACATGAATTCCATAAAAAGATAATTGTATTTATATTCTATTTAATAGGTTGATTATTAAAACACATTTCATTTGTGTTTCTCGAAAACATGATTTATTGTTTCCCTGTTAACAGTATAATTTTAACCCCATGATTTTTTTTATTTTCCAAGAACCTTACATCATGTAACATTTTTGTTGAAAATAACGTACGTTTTATTTAGTTCTCAAATTTTTCACGTTGTACGAATAATCGATATACTGTGTTCTGGAGAGATCGTTTCATAAAAAGAAAAATATCCTTTTAATAAAGCGGGCTCCCCTGATTCGCAGTGCCGCGAACTTGTAACGAGCAACAACACTTAATCCCTCGAATGGACAAGAGATTACACGATGCATTTAGGAATAGTTTAGTTAATTGAAAAGAATTCGAAAATTTAGTACAGGTTCGAAAATACGTAGTCCACTCGGAATTCTCGTGTTCTATTAAAATACAGATAGATTTGCGCCATGTAAAAATAAGTAGGTTACACATGTAAGACAGAAAGGATTCTGTATAACTTATGCGGTTCCACAAAATTGTAAAAATATCATTTGTGATTGTTTCTGTAAAACTGGTTATTCAATTACCTGATTTATTTGTCGATTAGAAATCCGTTTGTAAAAGCTACACGGTCTTACGCAACGACACGTTCGATTAAGAATTCAAGATATCGGTATACCGAGAAAGCAAGTCCGGGGAAGGGGCAGTCGTGAGGATCCTTTTTACAATTTAATATTACCAAATACTTGGCGATATTATTCGTTCCTCGAGTATACAATCCTTGATTTATCTATTAATCGCTTAATTACTCTGATACTGATAGATTCTTATATTTACTTTCACTTTTTAATGCAGAATCGTATTATAATGACTCGATAGTGTATAATTATCGGGCGTAATATTAACAATATTGTTCTGTTAGAAACCCTTTTCTTTTCCACTTGACCCGTTCACCTAAGGAATTGCCGTGGTCCTTGCAGCTTTAATTTTGAATAAATACAAATGTTCGCTGTCAAGAAAATTGATGGGCAGTTACAAATGTGGTAAAAATAATCAACTTCAACGAGTTTTTTTTTACGCGTATACATATTTGCATTTTCAAAAAATGTGTTACGTCTTTTTATTCTACAGTCTTAACTCGTTTGTTTGCTGAAAAAGAAATTTTATCTTTTTTTTTTACCAGAGAACGTTGTTGGAATATTAAAATATGCGAAGTACATGTATATTACATATCTGAAAATTCACATTCGATCTGTACATACAATTGCGATGAAACGTTTTTGGACGTATTATAAATTAAAGTTGAGTTTAAAAGTGCAGAATAAATTCGTAAATCATAGAGATCAGTAGAATCTTTTTTCATCGTTTAAGTATTTTAATGTTTCAAGAAAATTTTCATCTCAACGAATTAGAACGGAATAAGATGTACATATGTACCAGTGCCAGTTATGTTGGTAATTATTGAAGAGAAAGTTAATAATGCAATCGATATATATATATATATATGTATATGATATACATATACGGTTGTATGTTACTAGTCTTACTAACAAATTCCAAACAATAACCGCCTGACGACGCGCTTTCTGGCAGTGGTCTCATAAATTTAATGAAAATCGAAGATATAATTATCAACAATAGCTCATAAAATTGCGCTTCACTGATATTTACAGTTTGCTTCCTTTCCCCTTTTAAATCTAGCGCAGAATATGTCACGTCGATAGACATGTTAAAAAAATTTAATAAATATTACAGAATAGAAGAACGACGTCCGTAAAGTGAGCGGTCTTTTTAAGTACATTGTTTCTTTTCCTCGCAAAGAACGCGTAGAGAAGCGATGCAAATTACCGAATATTTTGTGCAACGAGTACAACAGTGATATACAATGTACACATATTCCTATTCTTCCTTCCTCGAATGATGATACACGAGTCATGTTCAGTCAATAATATCCCCGCTAACACGTCATAAATTACCCGAGCTCGTCGGATTTCGTCATACAACTTGCGCACTTGCGGCGCGCAGTCAAACGAGAGAAGAACGACTGTCAACAATGTGGTCACGCTTGTCTAACGGATGTACAGTTGACCATAGAGGTTGACATACATACAATACATTAATTAGAATAATTCATACACACATATGTAACATTAGCATTAAACTAGGCGTCGGTTCCTACGTCGAGGCTTCTCGAGTCCTGGTTCGAGTCGTGCTGGCTCCCGCCCTCGGAGCTCGCGTTGCTCGACTGATCCGAGCCCTTCTTCACCTTGGGCTTATACTCCGTAATAGTGACGGTAACATTGTTGACCGTTACCTCGTTGGATTGCGCGGTGCTACGGTCGATATTTTTCAGACGCGGCGGATGCCTGTTTTTACGCCTCAGCTTATCCAGTTTGCGCTCCTTCTCCTTGACGCCGCTGGTCGTGCTACCGCCACTCCCTTCTTTCTTGCCTGGTTTCAGAAGCGGTACATATTGTTGCTGCGCAACCTGGACACAATATTGGTTACGCGTTAAGCTTCGACATCGAGATGGTTGTGCGGGAAATAAGTGAACAGCCGCATATAAATAATATGCGGACGAAAAGATTGTCGGACTGACCTGTTGAGCTACCAATTGAGGGTTTATGCGGGGTTTCCGCGTAGAGGTTCCTTTGCGGACGTCACACATGAGGCACTTAAATGCTTCCGCTGTATTCCTATAAGTGCAGACACTGCAGTCCCAATAATTTTCTTCCAAAACCTTCGCCTGGCGTTTTCCGCTTCCCGAATGGTTCATTGTTCGTTGCAGTCAATCGTAGAACGCTGTACCTTCTCAAAAGAAAGTTTCCCCTCTTTTGAGGCACCTGCAGCCTCATTAAATTTTGCGGTTTTGTGAACACCGGATAATTTCCAACAGAGACGTGACTAAGGATATGCAATAAAAGCGCTACACAAACTTCTAAGGCAACGTTCCGTACATCAACTAAGCGAGATACACAATAGTCTGTTGTAATCGATCGCTCCGTAGTGGCCACCTATGTCTCTATATTGTATCACTCTGACATTACACATTTTCTTCCAATGAATCTGCAACGGAGAAACGACCTTGTTAGTCGAACGTGTTCAAAGAATGGCATTTCTACGTAACAATCTCTCAAGTCCAATCTACAATGTGCTCTTTGCGTCTAGAAATATTCTATTTTGCAGCCAATAAGCTTGAACGTTTAACAAAATTTGCGCGAGTTGATCAATTGTACATTACACATGTTCCGAATCCTCTTCTATCGATAAAAACGCCTCGTAGCCAATCAGGATGTTTCAATTCTGTATCTTACGCTGTAGTGAAAGTGCCAAGAGGGAACAGCTTTGTCTCTTTCTGGTCGTTCCTTAGGAAGAGACAAAGCCGCTCACTTTTAGCATCTTCACTATATGGCGAGATGCGGAATTGACCCTCAGTAGGCTGTCAGCCACTTTTAGAGGCACTTCTCTTGATAAAAGAGGATTCGGAACACAGGTCCAGTTCTTAAGCGTTTCGATTTGCTTCTACAAAACCGAATGTTGCTGGACGGGAAGAGCACATTGTAGATCAGGCGTTGCGCACTTAGCAATCGCAAAGTACCATTTACAGAACTACGAGTCTATCGATACACATCTTGTACTACTGTCTAGGCTGGCATTCGGTGAAACCTCGAGAAGGAAAATCAACAAACGTCTTGTAAAAACGAATCAATGCCCGTTTCACTCCAGAGAGTGAGAGAAAGAGAGCGAAGATACCGTTGAATCTCAAACTACCTCCCGAATTGGCAATCGACAGAGGCAGCTTATTGAGACGCGCCTCTGTTTATCAACACAGAATTTGACCTCTCGTCTACCCCGGGGAGTTAAACTCACGCTATTTACACCCACCGTTCACCGATAGCGAGTTTCGCTCACACGCTGGCGGGCACTGGAGGGGGGATTCTCTCCAATGGCAAACGTTCGGTTCGGTGCTTCCCTGCCCTCCCCCGCGGCACAGTGAACACGCAACTCGATTTAACGTCGTCCTGTTATCTCGGGCGACACTCGGTGTCGTTTCACATTCCCCTGGTTCGCAAGCAGGATCTCGAGGCCCGTTATCGCACTCCGGCCGGACTCGCGCCGAGTCGGGCTCTCGCCTCGCGTAGCGAGGCTGCCGCCGGAGTCGCCCGCAACGGCGACGACGTCCCCGGGGGGTCGTGAGTCCCGCCGCCGTCTCGTCTCGCGCCCGTCAAGCCCGCAGTCCCGCCGGCGACGAGGTCACGGGTCGGCGCATCCTTCCAACGGCGAGGCGGATGGAGGAGCTCGTCGGCGCATCGTGTGTGTGTGGACTGCGTGCGTGCGTGTACGTGTGCGTGCACGCACGTGCGCTAGCGCGCGCGCGCGCGCGCCCCCCCCTCGTGTCAATACCGTGTGTGCGCGCCCGTGTTACACGCGTGTCCCAACGCGTTGGCGCATTCCCGGCGTCCCCGGCGTCGTCGTCGTCGTCGTCGGCGGAGGGCGAGCCGCGAGGAGGAGACCCGTTCGCGTCCACGGGCTACCGAACCTGCCGTCGGCCGTCCGTCATGCCAGCGCGACGAGAGCGTGCTCGTCGACGATCAGCGCTGGCGAGGGAGACTCGGGGGAGGGGGGGGGTCGGGAGGGGGCGCGTACCTCGAAGCGCGGGAGGACGAACGGCGGCGGTGGCGGAGAGGAGGCGGAGAGGATATATTGACAAACAATCCGGTGGCGATTGCGTGCGGCGGCGATCGCGCGGCTGCTCCGTTCACGTCCGCGGTCCGCTTCCGCACGTTCCCGCCAGTCGTGCCAGAATGCTCGCGTTCACGGCGCATGCGCGTCGATTTGAGCCTCACCGAAGTACCTGCCGCGGGCAAATGGGCGTGTCGCTTGGTCGCCCGTAAGAAATTTTCTTGAAGAAAATTTAAAAGAAAATTTGTTACGGACAAGAGACCTTTCTGTGACAGTCGTGCGTCTTTTTGCCTGTATATAATGTAACTCGTGTGAATTGGTGTATTACATATTTTTATGTAGAAAGTATAATCGATTCGAGTCTCGCGTCTGTGCCCGTTGTATGTACGGTATTGCCGATACGTCGCTGGCTACTGTCGCGCATGCGCGAGAAACGCGGACCGTTCGGAACCGAACCGCGCGCGACGCTCGGGAACGCGGAAACGGAACTCCCTCGTTGCTTGCCCCTTCGCCCGCCCGTCCCCGCCCGCGAGGAGTATTGCGCGCGTAGGTGCGTATAGCGAATTGAACGGACAAGGCGCCCGGTTTCACTGGGCGCGTTGTTCAACCTCAGCTTAATTCGTTCCTCGTCACTTTTCGGCCGTTTGAAAAGGGACGAACGTGAAAGTTGAACTAGGATCGCTTCTTCTCTCGTAGCTGAACCTTCTGCACTTGCTACATTTTCCCTCCGCCCGACGCAGTTTAACTTTAATCCTCGGTTCAGCTCGCTTCGTGTCTTCTTCTAGTTTTATCGCGAGGAGAGAAGACACGCGAGGTGAAGTCGAACCGGGA